TTATCAGCGGGTAGTGAATTACAGCCGATAAGCCGACTCAGCAGTCAGTCTGGCGGGATCCCTGGTTCAGTTGTGACAGACGATGCCCTGTAAAACCCAAGTTCAGACCGTCGTAATTCCGCCTGATTAATAGAACGGCCTTTATGTCTCGTCTTATTTGGCCGAATGTCGTTCTCTTTCGTGGTGACGGCACTCCTGTATACGTCATGGCGACCTATGTGTCACCACCTACAGATATTTGTGTCATGACAGTAAGCGGGCGATGAGGTAAATGTTGTAATACTTCTTGATGCGGAGCGTGTCTGTTGCATAGTACCTCTAGAATCTTAGAGGTGGATAATGTAGAAGATGAAACTAATGGAGAAGCCTCCTCTTTCTATAATATGACTATTGATTCATTAAGACTGCGTACCTTGTTCGACACGTATGGATACGTACTTAAGTAAGGATCTCGTACTGGAATATATGTCGTTGTCGTGCCACTCAAGCGCTCTTAGACGATACAAGGAATTTAGCTCCTTCCATCGAACCAGTGTCTGACTTCAAGGATGACGCTGTTCTGTCCGAAGCCATGAAGCTCAGACCTACCAGACGGACAGCATCGAACGCGAGACCTGTAGAGTGAATGGGATACAGGATACTGCTGACTTTTCCATGTCTGGTGCAACTTCCAGCCATCCCATCCCTATCATAGCTTCGTGGCGTTGGTCTGAGATTGGCATAAACTATGGCAATTGGATCACACCGCTATTCAAAGGCTGATGATTTGTGATTTCAAAGGCCGTGCTCGGAGAGAAGACTCAGTGCCCGGTGCTATCACACGAAGCGGGTGCCTGATGTTGAGAAGCCATCAGCTCGTGCCTCTAAAGTCAGTCAAGTCGATAGAATGATCAAGCTTCAGTAAACAAACGCTGAGAGTCGCTGGTTGCACTGCTTCTTGGTTGAGGTGATTGTTCTGTGTTGAGTAGTCGAATGTTGTCGTGGATATCCTAAGCCATGGTGGTCCTAACGAGCCATGTATGGCTACATGATCAATGCTACCGAACTATATGGTATTTTCATCGAATCAGGTATTCTGTAGTCGTCATTGTTGGTTATATGCTCCAATGCTCATGAGAATTTCGGGTAATATCACTTAAGGTATTCCAAGTTGCTCCACATAATTACACATCAACTCATTCATGATCACCTTGAACGGTAATGTGCAAAGGATATGAACTAACCTAAGATCCCAAACATGCCATGCACGATGAATGTGATGTGTATCTATATAAGGCTATTACGATTTAAACAGCCTATGCCTGGAAGCAGTAGGCTTGTAGAACCGCAATACTTCGCCGACAAGCAGCTGATTTCACTTGAGTAAAGTATGTGGTCTTGCTTTAAATGAATTCTGCAGTCAAGAATTCCATGGTGTCTTTCTTGAATGGTATATTACCTCAAGCTTACTTGTTTTACTCAAGATGACAGTATGGTTCTCTGCAGGCCTTGCAGCAACATGAACCGGAACATCCATATGACAAGACTATAACGACACCACCAAGTTCCACTATTCGTAACAGCAGACCCTCCTTGGGCCACCTAGTATCCGTACAAGTTCACATTCTCCGTGGTGGAGGCCCGAATCCTCCGGTTCTCCCTGACAAGCAAGACACGAATCCACCAAGCGCACAGAATCGAGAGCAAAGCGAAGCCAGCAGAGGCACCGAAGCCAATGGCGTAGCGGGGCTCGTCGCTCTTGGGCCAGAGGTAGGCACCGTAGATGTAGCCAATCTGGCCGCCGACGTTGGTCATGGCGAGGACGACTGCCTTCTTTTCCTTGGTCTGTGACAGCGTCGAAGAAGCCCAGCCGATGATGACGGAGTTCACTACGCAGAGAGTCAGAAAAGATGTGGATATTGAAGGGAATGGACAGGAACTAACCGGCATAGGCTCCCATTGGGAAGATGAAGCAGGCGACGTAGCGAGCCGCCGTGTTGAGTGTGGAGGCAGCCACTACGAAACCGAGAATCGCGACGCCGAGGCCGACCGTGATGTGCCATGTTCTCTCGTGAAGTCTGCCGGAGCTCCAGCCGAACAAGATACCCGCTGCACCGGCGAAGATGAACGGCGGGCACGTCATGACGAGGGTAATGGTCGTGTTGAAGCCGAGAGTCTTGACAACAGTCTGGTTCCCGTTAGCCATGTTTCTTCAACCGCCCAAAATGAGAGAAGAGTACGTACGGGGAAGAAGGAGTTGAAACTGCAAGCACTCAAATGGAAATTCTGCATCAAACAGAACAACCACGTCCTCTTGTCCTTCACAGCCTGCTTCAACCCATCCATAGCAGAAGCCTGCTTATCATCCGAGTCGGACAGCTTATCCTTCTCCATACGGGAGTGAGCGAGCTCGCGCTCGCGGTCGTTGAGCCAGCGCGTCGTCAGGGGCGTGTTGGGGAGGAGCCAGAAGCCGAAGAGGGCGACGAGGCCCGTGGCGGCGCCCTCGACGATGAAGAGCCAGCGCCAGCCTGCGATGCCGTTGAGGCCGTCCATGCCGGCGAAGATGCCGGCTGCGATGAGGGAGGAGAGGCCTGTTGCGAGGATCTGAGCGCAGTAGAGGAGGGCGATGCGGGAGGCGACCTCTGTGGGGGGTGTTAATTGATGATCAGAGAGAGAGATGAGGGGGCTGACCTTTGCGGGTGTAGAAGATTGATAGCATGTATGTTGCGCCTGGGTAGAACTGTTCCCGTGTAAGTCAAACTCTGTCCAGGTTAGGATGTGACATGACTTACGGGAGCTTCAGTGATGCCGAGGAAGAACCTACAAGCAACAAGGCCGCCGTAATTTTGGACAAGTGCAGTGCAACCTAGACGTCTGTTAGACTTGACGAACGCTTTGCGATCTAGCGTGTTCCATACCTGACACCACAGCCCAGATCAACATCCACGCGCTCATGTACATGCCGGGTTGGATCCTGGTGATCAACATGTTGGACGGAATCTGCATGAGAACGTAGCCCACAAAGAGACTATGATGCCGTTAGTCGCAGTCCTCCTCTGCTATCCTTTACCAGAGTCTCTTTTCTTACATTGAAACTGTGGTATTGAATTCGGTTCCAGACATGCCCAAATCCTTCTCCAAGTTGTTCAGTCGTGCCTGAGCAATGGCATTACGATCGACGTAGTCTGATTGGTCAGTCAGGTAATCTGATGATGTGATCTCGAGCGGGGAATCGTACTCAAGAAGTACATAATACAGAGTGTCGGCTGTTTGAAGGAGTCGTTAGATCTTGAACAAGCCTCGGTGTTATCAAGAGATATTGAAGACTTACCATGATCCGCCAATCTAGCTTCCGCACCAGCTTGATCTCCTCTGGGTCGGTCTTCTTCGCGGACCCGGTCCAGTCGCGGTTCTCCTCATCCTGGGGGATAGGCTTCTCGTCCATGATCACGCTGTCAACCGTATGGATGGCATGCTCTTCGCGCTCCACCGAAGGTGAACGCTTCTCGCTCGCACCCATTGTAGATTTTGCTGATATTGATATCGTGCTCGGGCCGGATTGTGCGCCTAGCAAAGTCTGCTTTTCGGGGATGGGGGGTTGCCAGAAAAAAGAGGGATCGGCGGGGCTAAACTCTGCGGTGAAGAGAGTTGCGGTCTAAGAAATAAGCATAAACGAAGATGGAGTCACGGCTTCTTACTTTGTTCTGCCAACCAACCCAAACTGCTGGACAACCAGCAGGAACGTGGTATTTATGAACTTTTCAAGACTGTTGCATCGTTGATACCCCACGCAAAGGTCATTTCTATGAGTGACCCCCGAATCCGGGGTAACTGGATCAGCGGGGGCAAGATTTGAGATCCGGTGCGTGTTAGAGGATAGCTGGGGAAACGACCCATGGGGAAGGGACCAGATTGCGACAGATTCCAACAAGTTGGAGCCGCGAGTCTGGGCAGCAAACGCGGGGTTCTCGGGGGTTAGATTTAGGATCCGAAGGGAGAAGAAAGAAAGAGGCGGTCGATGGGAATGGATAAGGGCAAGGGGGGGGTTCGATGAGACAAGCCGTCTGGAGGATAAGCAGGAGATAGCGTGCGAGGACAAGAGTTAGTCAAACCCACGAAGCACCAACACCCGCCGCCACTGGAGAGGTTGGAGTTGGTCAGCCACTGCGACTGAAGCGTGAGCAGCAGCAACCCACAGCATCCAAAGTGTGGGAATGGGGAAATGGAGCCCCGCGTGCCAAGGCCCGAGGGAATGGAAAGTGCTGGGGTTAGCTTGGGGTTAGTGACATTAGGGCCAGCTGCGTTGGGACTCTGAGACCGGGGATATGGAGAGGTGTGTGAAAGGGATGAATATGGTTCGTTCGGAAACATGTAGGGTGGATCAGTGGCTCTCGAGGTGTGTGAACGGAGGCAAGGACAATGGATGGTGGACACCTGAGTGGGAACTTGGTTGTCAAGGACGATACATGCCATGGCAGTTGGGGATTACTGAACCCTCTCTGTTTCTGAGCGTCATGATGTTTGATGACAGGCGGAAATCTAGTTTGGCAGTGGTTGACAACCTGCTATCTCGGGCATTGCCGTTGACGAGCTCTTGTAGCCACTGAGCAACCCTGAACTAAATCAGCAATCAAACCTACACGCCCAAATGGGTCTGGCTACGACGAGCTTTACGTCGAGTGTATTTTGTATGCATCTTCTATTCTCCCCAGAAGGTTCTAGCAACAGAACAAGGACTGCTTTGGCAAGTCACCGCAACTTGCAATTAGTAAAGATATTGGTACGTTTACGGTCGGCGTGGTTGTAATTTGTGCTCCTCAGCAGATATTCGGATTATTTGAAGTTTTGAAGCTTGAATGAGTCATCTACTGAAAGAACTCAACTTATCCTTGTATGGTACCCTGTTTACATCATAAGTCGCTTCTGCGACTTGCATTTGAATGTGCTGACTCATAATCCGTTCATAAGTGGCTCTGCCTTCCGTTCCATCATGTTGAGATCCAGCCGTGACGGCTTGAAAATCATACGAGTTCTCTGGCTCGGTATATGGTATGAGTCTTCGGATCGTAGTACGATTCGCTGTCGCACGGGGATGTGGCCATTCTTTCTCGCAAGCAGTCGATAACCTCTTCAACAGACTCAACTGCTGCCTCCCACATCTCTTCTCGGATCTGTAAACCGATGGCTTTGTATGTACCAAGAATTTCCCATCGCTTCCAATCTTTTTTCTGCTTGATCAGAGGGCTCAATGCAGCTATGGCGCCTCGCTGATCACTGTCTCTCAAATATTGTAGTAGCCAATCCAGCCGCTCTATATCGACCGTCAAATTTGTATCTCTGATTGATTTGAATAACGAGACAAACGCTTCTTGTCGTTTTGAGGTCAGCGTTAAGGTCCCTGCACGTTGCCAATCCTGCGCATGAATAGAGAAAACCAAGTAATCCCAAGGCGTTTCTCCGTCGCCGGTACGCAAACCCGTGTTTATATCCTGTAAGTTGAGAGTTGAAAGGTATCGAAGCGTCTTAGTGGTTCCATATAGAGCTGCTTCATGAAGCAAGCCCCAACCATCGCGTGTTACGTATGTCGTCTTTGCTCCTGCCTCGATCAGGCATTGTGTACCTCTGCAGTCTCCGCTCTGAATCGAAACCAAGAGCGGGGTCCTCCCAGGACGATTTCGGGATTCGATGTCAGCGCCGGCTTCTAGAAGGACTCTTAAGCTCTCTCGAATAACACGGCCTTTGTTGTAAGACGAAGTAAGATGATGGATGGCATAAAACCCTTGCTGGTCCGTAATGTTTACTGATGCTCCCGCACGGATTAGAGATCGAATGATTGCGGCTAGATTATCGTGCCCCGCCGTGGCAGCAATCATCATCGCAGTATCGCCCCCTCTGTCAGTGGCATTGACCCAGCTACCAGCATCAATCAAGTATTGCACCGTGAGTATATGGCCGCCCTTCGAAGCAAGCATTAGAGCAGTACAACCCGTCCAGTTGGCTTCGTTGATATCACAACCTAAACGCACGAGATGTTTGACACTATTGAGATGACCTTGTGTTGCAGCGATGTGTAACGGCGTGTTGCCTTCGTAGTTCCGCTGATTGAGGGCCCAACTGGAATCTTCGGCAGCTTGAAAGGCAGCGTCGAAATCACCTCTGCAAAGGGCATCATGCAGCGGGGTTTGACTAGCATTCACGGTCCATTTACCAGCAGATAAGATTCGAGTGAGTACTTGCATCTTCTCTTCGGGTAGAGAAGGCGTGTTGACAATCTTATCGTGCGCCTCATAGAACCAAGAGCTGCAACAAAGTTGACGATATGTAAGTAGCTACTCGTAGGAGCGATATCTTTGACAAACTTACTCGTCGTAATTTCCATTCAATATCTGATCTTCCCAGATCTGGAACAAATAGAGAAATATGTCTGTTGTTCCTTGACCTATGACCCACTGTTTGTTTCGTCAATGAATACGCGTGCGAGTAGAAATGACCGATGGGAGGCCTACCTCCAAGGCCGTCACGCCGTTAGGGCTTGCGTCACCTGGAAACACATGTCCATGATGTGACATCCACTGTTGAACTGTTTCTCTCGAGCTCTCAGAATGATCAGAATCAATCAAACGCCAGAAACTCGAACTGAAAGGGAGAACCCTAGCAGGTCTCAATGACACTCGCAGTCCAGTCGGAACGCCCACCAAGGTCTGTATTTGGACTGCTCTGGAACATAGCCACAGCGGGAATTGGTACTCGACTGTCATCGATGTTCCTGCTCTGTTTTTGCAGCCACTCTCAGTGCATTTCGTGCTGTTTTGGAAAGTCAATTGACGGTTGAAACTGAGATTGAGACTGCCCACTAGGCCTCGAGCCCATCTGGTGGGAGTATACGAGACTGGCTTCGAAGCATGACACCGGCAGCAACATGGAATTGGGCACCGATCTTGCAGAAGGCCTGGTGTCTGGTTAAAGATACTCGAAAAAACACCCGTAGCTTGATGAGTTGATATTAATCCAGCGGTTGCTGATGCTTGAGGACTCGATAAGGCTTCTTGAGTTTTTCTCTCAGCTACAGCTTGTGGAGTTTTGTCATCTTGGAGTGCTGCCGAGTCTTCATCAAGGCGGGTTGACGTCTCATCTATGTATTTCGGGCTCTCCGGAGCGTCTCCAGTACCTGGAAAGCCTTCAAGCCGTTGAACGTGCGGAACGATCTGCATGCTTAGACTCTCGATCTGCAAAACGAGCTTCCTAGATTACAACTCGCAATTCAGCGTCTCAACGGCTATAGTTTTCAGTTGGCGGCTTGAGACTTACGTGATAGATTGAGCATTGATTGATTGGAGCGCAAGTTGGAGGTTTTCTCTGGCATCTCGCGCTTTACTTCGACAGTCAGCGAGCTCAGCTTGTAGCCAGAACCATGCTCTTTTTTTGATCTTGTCTTTGCCGTCGGCACTCAGTGGTCGAGTGCAGCGTTTTCGGATTTCTTCGAGGCTCCTCGTGGATTCTGTAAGCTGAAGCATGGCCTTTTCTAGGTACATTGTTTCGAATTTTGAATCACTGGCAATGACTCCCGCCCTAGCGAGTTCTGCTTCGATTAATCCTAAAGCTTCGACCTACAGCATCATGTTCAAGGTCAGCGCATGAACCTTCTGCCTTTTGAGGTCTTGAATGTGATTATGTTGATCTGATATTGTTGCAACAGACCTCATTTTGGAGCCACCTCAGCTCGTTCTCTATCCCCGGGATCGCTCGGGCAATGTGAGCGACATGGCGAGCGGTGCTTAAAGCCTGGCCTATGGCTATAAAGCTTGCCACCGCCCCGACGACTTCCATTTCTTATTGCAGTTGGAATATCCAGAGCGAGAGTGCGATATCTCTGGGAGAATCATGCGTGAGGTTGTAGAGAAAAGGGAGGCAAAGGGTCCATCACGGCGCTTGCGCAAAATTACTCATAGCCTGATTATCAAGATGGGAGTATCCGCGCCCCTGCAGTCCCATGCCCAACGATGGGAAATGCGCCAATGACGGTTCTGCTCGAATGTCGTATGTGGCCCGACATGTGGCCTGGATAAGTTGGTTGCCAACATGTCTTGTCTGTCGGTGATTGGTTATGGTTGTCCTTTACCTTGTGCCTCTCTTGGAAACCGGCGCTTATTCTACACCAACTTGGCGAGGGTAGAGCAACATCGATGGAGGGGTGATTGATTTTTAGACCACATATGTAGTGCACGTTCTCTGCGCTGAATCATTGCGTCTGCCCATTCAATGGAGTTCTGTCCATTGAGCGACTTGCAAAATTTTGTGGGCAATTATTGCAAGGTGGGCGGCAACAGGACTGTCTAGACTTTCACACCTAAGAGACCCATCTACTTACCTACCTACCTAGTATATGTCAATGCTCACCTGGCAAGAAATGATACTGAAGACCGGGGGCCTTTGTTGGTAATCCCGCTGCAATTAACGGAAAGTGACTGTGCTTAATGGAAGATAAGAGCACAAATGGAGCAGATTACAGCAAGGGTGGTTGCAATTGGTACTGGTGACAGAAGTCCACATGGGATGACCGTTAGGACTTCGCACTGCAAATACCGGAGCAAGCAGTCGGAAGCTATGGGTTCGGAATTTCCGAACAGTTGAAGTGCGACACAGATGTATGCTGATAGCTTCGATTTTATACTAACACTCTACTCTCTTACAAACAGACCAGCCATACCCATTCCGGTGCCGACGCACATGCTCACAACACCGACCTCGCCTCCAGATCTTCCGAGACCGTGGAGCAGGGTGCTCGTCATGCGGGCACCTGTGGCACCCAGAGGGTGGCCCAGGGCAATAGCACCACCGTCGGGGTTGACCTTGCCATCCTCGTAAGCCTGCTCCAGCTCAAGCGCTCTCAGGCAGTAGATCGCCTGACTGGCGAAGGCCTCATTGATCTCCCAGCGGTTCACGTCCTTGTTCTCCAGGCCGAACTGGCCCAGAAGCTTGGGGATCGCCAGAGCGGGGCCGATACCCATCTCATCGGGAGCGCATCCGACGGTGGTGGCTCCGACGAACTTGCCGATGATGCTGTCGGTGAGGCCCAGTTCTGTGGCGGTGCTTCGGCGCATTAACAGCGTCGCGGCAGCGCCATCAGACACTTGCGACGAATTGCCTGCCGTGCTGGCGCCGTCAGCCTTGAATGCTGGCTTCAGTTTTTGTAAGGCCTCAATCGCCATGTTGGCGCGAATGCCATCGTCCTTGGTGACTGTGATTGTCTGCTCCTCTCCGACCTTGTTGCCCTGCTTGTCCGTCTCCTGGAATCTTGTTGTGACGGGAACAATCTCCTTGGCAAAGGAGCCATCTTCTCTCGCCCTTGAGGCGTTGTGGTGACTGCGCAGCGCGAACGCATCCTGATCTGCCCGGGAGACGCCGTAGCGCTCAGCGACGTTCTCGGATGTGATGCCCATGGCCATGATGCAATCTCTCGCGTCCTTGACCGGTGACTCCTTGAGGGCGGGCCACACGTCTACTGGGATCGCACGGCTGCCGTAGTTGCGGGTCATGCTCTCCATTCCGGCACCAATTCCTACCGATATCGTCTCGGTCCTGATTTGCGATGCGATGAGGGCAATTGATTGCAGCGATGACGAGCAGGCGCGGTTGACAGTGTACAAGGAGGTGTCGTTAGGGTAGCCGACGTGGTTCATGGCCATGCGGGCAGCCTTGGAGCCACCAAGTTCCGAGAGGACGACGCCGACGGCGACATCTTCAATCTTCTTAGGGTCGAGGTTCGGGTTGGCCTCGAGGGTGGCCTTGAGGACGGTCGAGAGCAGTTCTTCGGGGTATGCGTCCTTGAGCTGTCCGCGGTTCGACCGGCACACGGGTGTACGCAGCGACGACAGAATGACGACGTCGGAAGGCGCCTTCTTCAGGACGGACGAGATTCCTTTGGGGATAGACATGTTTGTGGTGTTTCTCGGAGCTACGGCCGTCAATTGAATGTGAATGTTGACAGAAAGCCAGACTTGTTGTACAGAAAAGAGGAAACAAAGTTTAGAAAGTAGCCCTCGGCCAAGGCTGTCTCGAAAAAGAGTCGGGTAAATGTGAGCGATGTCGCTTGGTAACCGGGGGAGCTTGAGCAATGTACTGCTAGTCAGGGAGAATAGCTCTTCCCCTTCTTTCGCTCAACTTCCCCAGCTTGATCCCCAAAGCCGAGGTGGGGGGACCCGCATGGCATGGCAATTGGGTTCGGCAACCATACGCAGAGCTCTAAGCTCGGTCCCGGGGCTAAACGTTCAACCGGCAGTTGAGTCGGCATTCACACCGAGATATACCGACGGTCACCGAAACCTGGCATGTTCACCGAGAACATCCCCCGGCTATCCCATTTGGGTATGAGGCCATCATCAGCCAAAACTGCCGTGTTACACAGTACTAAGTCATCGTCTACACTCAACTTGGTGTCACACCAAATGTCGACTTTGAAAGAATCTGAACAATGAGCTTCTTTCATAGTGAACACACTCTAAGCTCACATTACGCGCGCTCATGGTTACAAGGTATTTTGACAATTCAAAATCAGCGTCAACTTCCACTGTGTTGTTTACCAAGGATTATGGTAAATGCAGCCAAGGAGACACCCTGATATATGTCTCCATGTATATTATGATATGGTGAGCTCTCAATACTCACCCTAGCCGAAAAGTACTCCGTCAAAGCATTGAATGGTGAAGTGGTCATCGGCGCCGAAGCAGAAGCTGGAAAGAAATTTACCCAGATGCATTAGCGCCGGAGCAGGTAAAGGTCCATGTCGGGACTTCAAGCTTAGCAATAGTCAATCAATACCCACATGGGAATCAACAACAGCTGTACATGTATCTTTGAACACTCGAATGCATTGATGTATTGAGGGTATCGAATGAATCATGTATTCCTCATTTCATGCAGAGAAAGCAAATTGCCTGTCCTCAAAGGGAGACTAGCTCCTTCATGTAATTTCGTGATTATGTTAAGCTACCACATACAGTATTCCTCCAAGATAAGTGGCCCTGTTCACGCTTCACTATGAAAAACAATGTGTTTGTTGGAAGATATTCCAATGCAACCTAGTGAGCTGCTAGGCGTCGGCTTTGCCCCCAATCTGCACACCGGTAAGCGAATTAGGTTGCGGCTTTGTCGAAGAAATCGTTATTGAATAGACTACTTACTCAAGGCCTTTCATCTCTCCTATGGGACGAAAATGTTTAAAACAGCCATGGTGACGATCGTATGCTGCAGAGTAGCTTGGAAGTTACTGTAGCAAACCGTCGATACGTTCACTGAGCAAACCAAAAGATCAAATTCTATACGCAACTATAGCCTTGTTCTCCCAGAATTATCTAGGAAAGAAGATTAGGAAAGACAGTTTCAATCCATCCGCAAACTTTACAGCATTTACCATGCCAGATCCGCAGCCTCCCAACCCTAAAGACCTGATGAATCTATTTGAACTCGTCAAAAAGTACAACAACTTCCAAAGCAGAGGCGATGACTGGGAATTTGGTTACTATGTTGGAAAGGACTGGAAGAAACTGGGAGTTGTCACCGCTCGCCACGCCGAACTTCTACTAGGCTTGAAAGCGAAGTTGGCCAAGCACCTTTTGTTCGACAGGATGAGCGCTGAACAGAGACCATGTCAACGTATTCGGGTACACGCGGACCATTTGAAGGATTCGGACGCATTCGTTAAGGGAATCAGAGACATACGAGATATCCTTTGCCGAAGTGAGAATCGACATAGGGACAAGAATTTCGGAGCCGTCTGGGATGACGAGAATGAGATGTGGCCGCTGAGGCTGCACCTGTACGGTACTACCTGGCTGTCAACTGGTTTCTTCTGCGGCTTGAGCCCCGTCTTCGGTATTGTTACTACTGGCGTTCATCTAAATGTCTACAATGGTAAAAAGGAAGATCCGAAAGCCTACTCAATATTCGTTGCAAAACGTTCCGACAAGAAGTCAACATTTCGTGGCATGTACGATCAGTGCGCTGCTGGAGGCTATCAGTACGCAGGTGGGGGTTTCGGCGAAGCTGGCGACAAGACTGCGGAAGAATGTCTGAAACGGGAAGTGAAAGAAGAACTCACCAGTAGTCTACTGCGCCGGTGGCTCAAGGATGTCAAGAAAGCCTCCCCGATTCAGTATGCTGTCCTGCGGGATGAACGGTGGGGCGAAAACTTTCTTGGTGCCCCTGAACTCGGCGTCAAAATTCCATTCGATCTGGAAGTAGAAGAAGACCCGATTTTCAAGCCCAATCCGAAAGAAGTCAAGTTAGTCGAGAAGAAGTCTGTCGACGAGATTGTCAAAGATCTTATCAATGGAGAATTCAAGCCAAACTCCGCACTCGTTATGATCGATTTCCTGATCCGACACGGCTGTCTGGGAAAACCCTCACCTGGTGACGTTTTGGATAAGATGAGTGGAATGCTCCAAGAGCACGCAATTGTCAATGGTCTTCCTCACTGGAGTGATGAGCAAGATCTCTGAACACTCTTGATGGTTATAGTGGAAGCACCTGTGATACAGACAATATCTCGAGAGAAATGTGTTCCTCAATGGCACTTGATTGTGCAGAACTTCGACGATTGAGGGCAGGGGCTTGGCATGTGTGTTAGGTGGATCTCAGTATTTCGCGAAACAAACGTTCGGACACTCGCTCGGGAAGTTGGGAAAGGAATTCTCTGATATCTCTTTTAGACTTCTTTTTTTTCCCTGGAGAGGCAAACTGGAGACTCTGTTGTCGGCATTTCGGTTCCTGAGAGATCGCGGGGCTTTCAATTTGGGGGTCAAGTTGTCACCTCAATGCGTCGGCCGACTTAAAGACGTCCAAATGCTCATCAAGTCTTAGTATAATACACTCGTTTGAATGAAAATCACAAGTGTCATCTCGAGTAATAGCAGATAAATACTAGATGGTCTTTTATGCACAATTTGAGGCATCACAGGCATATATCGACCACCGATGGCGTCAATTTTCTGACCCTCCGTTGATCTAGAACCTCCTAAGATTAGTCCCTAGAAAGATACTCAATTAGGTATCTCGTCGATACTTTGAACTTGAATCTCTTTTACCCCGTTCAACTTGCGTCGCATACTGCTGCTCGCAGCGTAAACTGAAGATGTTAGAACCCGAAGTATCGAGACATTTCCATCGCCAGGACAAGATGGAGAACTTACCTGCCCGCCGAAGCCTGTTCGAGCTACCCAATGGCTGGAGGCTCTTCAACCCATGCCATGGATCAACACGTGCATAGTCTTCCCAAAATCTCTTCCTCTCGTAATCGAAACTGTCCTGTCGTGGGATCAAAAGCTTGCCAGCAGTCTGCCAGGGGTATTTTGATTCATCCCACACGGCGCCTGAATACTCAACAGGCTGATCACCGAGATTCTCTAGTAGCTGCACTTGGAAGAGGTATTCCGCATCATGGTGCGCGTGAAAATTCTGTAGCCACTTTTGCAGGATAGACTCGTCATGCTCTGGCTTCACAGTCTCATCGTAGAGCTTCCTCTGCGTCTCGGTAGATGGCACAAGGGAGTACTTGATGACGTAGTCTCCAAACCGATACGCCGTCTGAGAATACTGCCGCGTGGACTCGAGGTGGGTGTTGCGAACCTGGTCGCGAGCTAGTTGCAGTTGCGCATCTTGGCGAGCGTTGAGCTCTTTATTCAATTCTTCTTTGTTGCCAGCATGCTTGAGCCGAAGGCCGATAATTTCCTTTGTCGTCTTTGCGTCGGCGAGGTCAATGGCCGGGGTGCTGTTGAATTCAATATCCTGAGTTGGAGTATCCTTGCCGGCCTCGAACATTTCTCCTTTGACGTTGAACAGCTTCATGGCAAAGCCCCGGGGTTGGGGGATGCGGTCCTGTAACGCGTAAGCACAGCACAAGAGACGATGATGGGAAAAAGAACACCCACATCAAGACCCGGGTCGCCGGGCTCCGAACTGTACCGACAGGCTACAGGGTACTCGCCGCCGTGTTGGAACAGTTCCGTCTGTTTCAAGTGGGGGGGCAAGTCATCCGGGACTATAAATGTGCCTTTGACGATGCCCTGTGTTCTGGCATGGGTACCACTATAGCCATGACGTGTCGAGTTCCAAATTCTGCGCTGCCCCTCATTGATCATATCAGCAACGGCTTGAATGTCTTCTGCTTCATTTGGGGGCACGTCTTCAACTCCTTTCGCGTCCCACCGCACGTAGGCACGTGTGGAGAGGTCCTCGCTTGGAAGGACGTTGCTGATGATGTCAGTCATGGCGTCGCGATCTGATGTTGTTTGCTATTTGAAGACTCAATGTCTCCTCAAGATGGAGAAATCTGTAAAATAGACACGCTTCATCCAGATTATGGGATCATTCCAGGTATTAATGCTTCCTGCCCATCCATACACAGTAACATTGCCGTTCCTCCACGCGATCAGTGTGACAAGATCGCCCCTGTGATATTTGAGTAAAGTGTTTTGGCTCATGCTAACCCAGGCGCTACATATCATCCGACCGCGCTACACTGCGACGGCGTCGAATACCCCGCAACAATAGCTCTGGGGTAGTGAAGCTTGTGAGACACTCTTCCAAATTCTGGACGCCAATCAGGGAGTGCCTGTTGTAATCCTTCCACCCGAATCAACGGTCGAAGGCCCATGGATGAGCCTGGCCATCTTACCAACGAAGTATCACTGTGAAGTTAGTTGATTGGATTCACCCTGGTTTCGTGTATTTCGTCAGAAGCAATGGGCGTGAACGGCTACGGTCGGGATTGAGTCAAATATAGGGGCTTCTAGGCTGATTTAGCCCAATAAACTCAGTGTTGGCGTACCGACTACCAGTCGACAGCTCAACAAAGGATGGGTACTAGTACCTAGGTACGTGTATTAAGCAACGATTGCGTCGGACTCGAAGACATCCAACTCTCGGGGCCGGGAAGCCAATCCGCCGTGGCGATTTGGGCATTCCCCCCGGGAAATTCGGCCAATCGGCCCCACCCGCGCCGCGGCCGGAGACGCCGATGTCAGCTGCGGCCCAACTCCACTCCCCTCGATGGTAATCCCCTGTATTGTATTCTGGGGTCATCACGAGGACCTGGATGATGGACCATGGCCGTGCTTCCAGGTGGTATGCAAGAGCTAATGGCGTGCAGCAGCACAGAAGGTGGGTGGCAGTGATCTTAGAGCGCCATAATGAGAGTTCGTCCGATCCAATTCTTGAAACAGACTCAGCCGATCACAGAGGCTAGGTACTCCACCAAACATGATCTACCATATCAATAATTTAGGCCACTCATTGTTGATTACTGACTTCGATTATGACAAGATAGATAGTGACAGGAAATGGAGACATCGTGAGGGCCTTTCGTGTGTACAGACAAGGAACCTGCAGTTTCCGCGTATGACAAGTTGGCAACCCACTGGAGTCAAGCTTTTAGTCATTGATTCGCCATCAACCTTCCCGCAACCGAGGAACCGAATGCGAACGACCCAACAGTCGTTAGAGGGTCGCGTCATTGGTGGCTTGTCCATCAGCTCACCGTCTGTGGCTTGCAAGTTGCAGCAGGGCTGACAAGCACACACAGCACCCCGCGCAATGACTGCGCCACGAAACATGACGACAGGATAGAAGCTGAGCCGAGGGCGCGGGCAAGACGCTGAAGAACTTGGCTTGACTGGGGACAAGACGGGAGAGATCCAATCCCCGTCCCGCGTTAGGCTGCTTGCGGCACGTTAGTTATGCCCGCCCCTGCCAATTTCCGCAAGCTCCGTCTGACTAGATGGCGATTAGCGTTCCTTCGAGGCTCTCTCTCAGCAGTAAGCAAGTCTGACGCCTTTTCATAAAGCTTCAGCTCTCCCCTCTTTCTCGATTCTGTCGGGTCGTTTAACAAGCATACCAAACTTCATTCGATACTTCGACTATTGTACATCTCGAAACCTCCATTTCCTTCTCAACTCAGCAACCCCAATCCTTAACATGTCTGCAAACGATTACTACGGAGGCGGCGGCCACAACCAGAACCAGGGATACGGTGGACAGCAAGGATACAACCAGGGCGGCTACGCACCTCAACAGCCCACCTATGCACAGGTAAGAACTTCAACAAGATAGGACTCAAGTTGACAAGAAGCAACATCGAGACCAGTAACACTAACACTTCCGAAGGGCCAGCAACACCACGGCGGCGGCGGCTACCCCCAGCAGTCACATTCTCCGTACCAACAGGGCGGTGGCTACAACGCCCCTCCCCAGCAGCAGCACGGATACGGCGGACCCCAACAACCCACCTACGCCCAGGGCAACCAGCACCAGCAAAGTTACGGCCACGACAACCGAGACAGCTTTTCCCACAACCAGCAACTGCAACACGGCGCACCCCAGTATGGTGGACAGTCCCAATATGGCGGCCAGCCTCAGTACGGCGCTGGTCCCGGCGGTCCCGATCAGGACAAGGGCCTCGGCGCAACATTAGTCGGTGGCGGAGCGGCCGGATGGGCGGCGCACAAGGCTGGCGGCGGTATCATTGGAACTGTCGGTGGTGCGATTCTTGGCGCTATTGGTGCAAATAAGTTGGAGCAGTATGGAAAGTGAGTGTGAAATGATCGCTTCGAATTGCCCAAGACGCAGGACTAATATGAATCAAACTACAGGCACGCCAAGGAAGAGAAGAAGCACAAGAAAAAGCATGGCAAGAAGGACGGGCACCGCAAGCGCAGCGGTAGCAGCAGCTCAAGCTCCAGCAGCGACTAGGACGTTGTTGCTCACGCTTCTGTGAACACTTCTGGTGCCTAAATCTGGATTATACCCCCCGATTCAATCTCTGTCAAGCGTACGGGGAGAACGACTGCCGATGAATGGTTGGATTTTCATGACTTGCACACATAGACGATAATGTATTATTAGCCACGAAAAACACTTGAATTGAATGCACACGAGGGATGGGTCATTTATTGAATTGATTTCTCCATTGGTATCTTGAAAAATAGGCTTTATTATTACAACATTAACTCACTCCATCGTCTTCAAGTCGTTTGCGACTTCAAATGATGCGTCGGTCTTTGACTTCACTTCTTCAACGTCAACACCGGGCGCAACCTCAGTCAGTGTCAGACCACCATTCTTGCGATCGACTTCAAAGACACACTATCTTCCGGTTAGCAACGAGTCTTTAATCAATCACCTGACGCCACACTCAACTCACCAGATCAGTAATGATTGTGCTGACAACACGAGCACCAGTCAACGGCAGACTGCAGTCCTGCACAATCTTGGAAGAGCCGTCCTTGGCAACATGCTCGGTTGCGACAACGATCTTGGTGTTGTCGGGATTAGATACCAAGTCCATAGCACCTCCCATGCCTTTGAACACCTTGCCGGGAATCATGTAGTTGGCCAAGTCGCCCGTGGCGCTAACCTGCAGCGCACCGAGGATAGAGACATCCACGTGGCCGCCACGGATCATGCCAAAAGACTCGGCGCTGTCGAATGTTGAAGCGCCGGGAACGAGGGTCACAGTCTCCTTGCCAGCATTGACGATGTCGCTAGAGTTGGACATGTCAGTTTACGCATCTCACTTCCTCTGAGGGGTATACTTACGCGTCGACCTGATCCTTTGTAGGGTAAGGACCCATGCCCAAAATTCCGTTCTCAGATTGAATCCAAACATTGCGTTCAGCCGGAAGGAATGAGGGAGCCAGAGTCGGAATACCTATCACAGTAAGCACATCTCTTCGAACCTTACGGGGCATAGTCTCAACTCACCAACGCCGAGGTTGACGTAGAAACCCTCCTGCAACTCCTTCGCAGCACGTCTGGCAATGCGATTGCGCCTTGCCTGCGCATCATTCTTGGGTGCATTCAGATCTTCGCCCTCACCATCCTCCGCCCTTGTCTTGAGAATCTCAATGTTCTTCTCGGCGGTCGAGGGCACGATTCGGTCGACGAAGATTCCGGGCAAGTCGACGTCGTTGGGGTCGATTGCGCCCGCCTCGACAATATTCTCCGCTTCCACGATAGTGACTGTTGCGGCCTTGGCCATGATGGGTCCGAATGCTTTGGTGGTGTATCTGCACGGAGACACAGTTAGCAAGTTCCTTCGCTCAGTCAATTCGCAAGTAGTTTTCGTACCTGAACACGCAGTTTCCTGCTGTGTCCACTTTCCATGCTCTCAAGATGGCCACATCTCCCGTAAGTGCAGTCTCCATGAGATACGTCTTGCCGTTGAATTCTCTTGTCTCCCTTGTGCGCCCGCGCTCTTTCACCCCGCCAGAAGCATCGAGTTTGACAGGAATGTCACCACTTTGAACCAAAGAGTCTACTCATGTCAGCTACATCACTCAGATCCTGTCATGGTACAACCTACGAGCTCCAGTGGGCGTAAAGAAGGCGGGAATTCCAGCGCCACCGGCACGGATCCTCTCGGCGAGCGTTCCCTGAGGGCACAGCTCGATGCCGATCTCTCCAGTGAGATACTTCTTCTCCAATGCCTTGTTGTTTCCAAGGAATGACAGGATCAGGCGGTTTACCTGACCAGCCTTAGTGAGGACAGCCAAACCGCCCTTGCCTTCTTGGCCGGCATTGTTTGAGACAGCTGTAAGCGAGTGCAGGTTCTCGGGACCCCTGCGGTTTAGTGCGGCGATGATTGTGTCTGTCGTCGAACATGTCAGCCGTTTCCCGATTCTTTGGCAGTGCAGATAGATCATCGCCAAACAAGACTAACCTGCAACACCACAGAGCCCGAAACCCGAACTCAGAATAGTAGATCCGCTCTTGATGTCTGCGACAGCCTCATCGGCAGACGCATACAGCTTCGAACCACCTCTCTTCGTAGCAGGCGCCTTCTGTGATCGGCGGATCGGTGTCGTCGTTATGCCACGGCATGTCGCAACACCAAGGACCTTTGCGCGGGGGAAACGCTGAGCTTGCGCACACACTGCGGGCACAGCTCTGAAGGATGCGCGGACCAGCACCCGCGGGCGCAACTGGCGAGTAATGGAAGACATTTGTTCGGTCCTTTTCTGGAGGAAGAAGCAGGCTTATCCACAAAACACAAAAGGGAAAGTTTCAATCAATTGTGACGAGAGACCAAAGATTAAGCACAAGTAAAAGAAAAAGGAAGGCCGATTGTCGGGGGACATTTCTAGGTTCGGGTTAGGTGGGCGCGACTTCATCTTTTTGAACGGATTGCTGCGCAGGACGCCTCGGCTGTTCTTTTGCGCGCCGACCACGACGGAGTCCCTCCGCTCCCGCGGTTCAGTAGTGGCTTCGGCATGAGGGGGAAGATGCAGGCAAAGACAGGGGAGTCTCTGACGTCTTCGTGGCGGGGCACCGGGAGTTGTGGGAACTCGGAGTTTCTTCTGCAGGAGCTCTCGGAGATCAAAAGTAGGCTCCGAGTCAGCTCTATAGCGTACAGTAAACAAAGGCTTGTCATTGGCCTGGACGGGATGACGGCAAGGTCAAAGAGACGATCCGGGGATGGTCTAAGATGCTACCCGCCGTGGGTTCGTCCTCCCCCGCAGATTTGGGGTCTGGGGAAGACGGGCTTCAAAACGGGGGAGGGACCCCCAAGCTTTGCCCTTGCTTGGCAGATAGGAAGTCGGGTCTTGTTGTCTTGTCTTCTCTGTTGTTCTCGTCTTTCCAGTCTCTTCATAGAGTTTTCCAAGGTTACACTGCCAAATCTTACTCGAATTCAACATGACATCGAAAGACTTCGACATGGATCCCAAGGTTGAGCATGACGAGAGCCACCTGGAGGTTGAAGCAGAACGCCAACGGCATCTCACAAAGACTTTGCTCTTCAAAGTTGACACTAGGTGAGCTTTTCCCCCAAGTTTTCAACTACAAGCAACCCTTTTGAAGACTCATTTCAACTTACACGCAACGATTGACAGGGTCCTACCGCTTTTGGCTCTCCTGTTCCTCTGTTCCTTTCTTGATCGAACCAACGTCGGCAACGCAAAGATTATTGGCCTAGCCGAGGACCTTGGCATCAGTAACAACCAATACAACCAAGGCTTGGCCGTCTTCTATGCGACATACATCGCGAGGTAACATCTCTCC